GAGATCGCCTTGGGCCAGACCCAGGCCGAGCGCGAGCAGCTCTTGCACTTTGCCCTCCCAGGCGGCCGCGTGCGCAACCCGATCTTTGAGGAGCCCGTGTCCAAGCAAGAGCTCGCTCAGCAAGACTACGCACACCGCAACGACGACGCCCAAGAGTCGCCAGACGACAAGATCGCAACGCTGCAAGCCACCGTCGACCACCTCGTCACCGTCGTCGAGTCGATGCGCCAGCGACTGGAGACTTCGCACTTCTAATACAATGGTCCTGCTATGAATGTTGCTGCACGTGTCGAGATGCACAACCCGGAGCCGAGTGGGCATCGTAGATCGACCATTTGAGCTCTGTTCAAAAGTATCAAGTTGATACGCAACAGCTCCTATCCTGAGCAGCCTTCTAGGCTTCTCGTAGTAACCAGGACGTAAATATACGACCGATGTCGTCGGCGGGACGTTCTCGACCAACGTCTGGACGGTGCCAGCGTACCGAGCGTTGTTGGCTTAAGTGCGCGCGTGGCCGAAAGCGTCTGCTCTACACGGCTCAGACACTGCATTCAGACGCATGGATAGGTGCAGCACCTCGTCGAGCAGCTCGCCGTAAACGGTTTTGCCGACTTATCGACGACGCGGGCTGAAAAGCTCGATGGCTCTATGGTTGCCGGGACGAGAGTCGATGGCCACGGTGCTCTGATTGCGCATCCGACTGGATATGGTTTGGCTGAGCTACTTGATGACGTCGCGGCGGCCATGACATGCCTCACCGCCGGTCTAGCGAGCTTGCAAGAGCACCTGTACAGACGACCGACGTGCCAGCGAGGATTCGCCGGAGGTTGGGCCGACTCGGTCGCTCGTCATGCGGCGCTTTTGGTCCTGCGCCATGGCTACAGAGACGTCGTCTGAGCGCCTGTGCGTAGACTATCATACAGGTAGAGGCGTACGCACTGGTGCAAGCCACGTGCGAGGGCACGGACGATGGTCGTGATCGAGCGCACGCAGTGCGGCCGGGCTCGGAGAGAATCCAGCGCAAGGCCGATCAGACGATGATCAGTCAATTGGCCTGCGAGCGCTTAGGCGAGCGATCAGTCGCACGAGGCTACCAATGCACGACGCCTGCAGAGGCGTTCTCGTCGAGGAGCTCTGAATGGTCACAGAATGCACGTGGTCGACGGCGCCGTGCTCGTGGCCGTGGGCGGTAGGCCAAACGAGGAGGTTGAAGAGAGGGCGCGGACCATCGATGCGCTCAGCGGAAGCGGCCAAGACGGGAGACGCAGGGTCGCAGTACGGCCGGCGGCTACTGGAACGATTGCAGATAGGTCGCTCAGCGGGCATGTGACAAACCATCTGGCTCCGTATCCGGACAATAGACCACACCCAATTCCAAAATGGGCAACACGGCGACGACGTCGGCGCTGGAGTAGGCGCGCGTGATCTCGCGGCATGGCTCTCATCCGGAGCACCTCATGCATGATGTGCTGCTGCTTGCGCACGGCGCCGACACTGCTGGCGACCCTACGAACCTCTCGCCCGCTGTGAATCTTTTGCCCAACGATCCGCTTTCTGCTCGAGGTAGCAAGCGGTCGAAACAGTTCGTTCTTAACGCTCACGTAGGCTGCGCCGAGCCTTTCGCATTTGCTTCACCACGTCGCGACAGACCGGACGCCGCTTCCGGCAGCATTTGCCAACCTGAACGTCGCGACGGCAGATATTTTCTCGAGCCGATGGCATAGAGTACACACCCAAGCGCGAGATGAAAAGACCTGCGCCAGCTCGTTCGTCCGGTTGAAAAGCTCGAAATACTCGGTACGATTGCGTCCAAGGTCAGCCATTGGCCCAGGCCGACGCTCCTGACTACTCTCGGGTCGCGAACAGCTTCCCGGCCCTCGCCGCGGACGTTCCACAGGCCGCGCGCTCCTCCAGTAGCTCGGCATGCTTGAGCTAGCCGCGCCCGCGCTCGGCAGTGCCCAGTGCAGCTCCTACGGGTGCCAAAGGATTCTCGAGGCGCGGCTGAAAGAGGCCATCGACGACTCTAGCATGGACGCGCTCTGCAGCGTTGTCCAATAGCATGAAGATGGAATAACGGGCGGCGTGATCGACGCGCTCACGAGCTGCGCTGACTTTGACGAGTTCAAGTGCCTCATGCTACAAGTCACACCAAACAACGCTTTTTCATAGTACGTTGACGGATGCTTGGTCGTATACCTAGCGGCTCGTTTAATCCACGGCGATGTCTGGAAAAGTATTCGCGTCGACCAAAAGTATCAAGAGTAAATCTACCGCTGCCGCAAGTGCTAACTCGTGGGCCACAAAGGCGGCAATTCTGCGCACCGCAGCATCCATCCCGACCGAGCGCAGCCACATTGGAACAGTTCTTCCCGTCGAGGGCCCGCTGTTGCAATTCCTTGACGACGACTAGTTCTCGAGCGACAGCGATGACTGCATCGACAGTGACCAAGACTACAGGTAGGTGATGTCGAGCAACCTCATCCATTTTTACATAAGACAATCAATCAAAAAATGAATTTACTTCTGTGCTGGAACATGTGCGATCCGCCCAAACGCGGCAGGGTTGCGAGGGCGGCTTGCGTCGGCCTATCTGGCAGTGGACTGGGCTCCGCGCGATGCCTTTCTCTGTGTACTTCTTGATGCTGGCGACTGGCGGGGTCTCGTCGGGCGCAAAGAGGTCGATGGCCGGCGGCGTCGGCTCTCGATCGGGAATGGATGTTTTTATTGGTTAAACTCTTCATCTTTTTAGCCAATCATAAGACTTGGTTCACGACCTCGACTTAAATAGTGTAAAAACCATTCAGCACAACGACGAGTAGCAGCCCACAGACGCGCCAGCGCCACACAGCAGCCGTGTATTCATCTTCACACACCTCTTGAATGACGTACACGTCGTTTCCGACTCTGCACGTAGCGCCATCACGCGCAAATTCATTTTCCATTTTTCGAGGTCGTTGCAGAATTGTCCAAATACTTCACGTGACATCGCGGGGTTCCAAAGCTCCAAGGACCGTGGAACTGGCCGCCACAGTTGGCGATGGGTCTCAACACGGTCTGCAACCAGTTTATTGGGCGCCGTGGTTGCTTGGGCACTCACACCAAACTCGAACTGCCGAGCGTCGGTTTTCGGGAAATTCGGCATGCGATTTCGGTCGAAAATGCATCGAGGTCGCGGAAACCGAGGACGCCATCTCTTTTGGTTCATGGTACAGAACGTGCTGCATGTGGCCGAGGGAGGCAAAGTGCGCGCGATACCGCTGCGAGATGAGGCCTTGT